GGGGGGGGGGGGGGGGGGGGGGGGGGGGGGGGGGGGGGGGGGGGGGGGGGGGGGGGGGGGGGGCACGCAGAGTCAGGAGGGTAGAGCAGGGAAGGGTAGGGTGCATGGTTTCCAGAAAGTGAATGGAGTAGTACAGCGAAGACGGATGAGGTAGGTATATTGTAGAAGAATGCCAACGAACCGCCAGTGATGTTTACTTATCGTGACAGCGGCGCAACATAGAAAAAAAAAAGTAAGGTGCGCAGAAGAGAAAAAATGGGCGCACCAAGAATGATGGGAGAAATTCGACGCAGAAAAGAGTATCCCTGATGCTTCCCCCGGTGCTGTACAAGCGGCAGCAGGCACTCACCTGAAAATGACGCCCTCGTGCCCCTTCAGCCGCAGCAGGTCGACCCCCCCCCCTGGTAGACACGGCGGAACCCCCTCTGGATCTCCCGGTTTCCCATCACCTTGGCCTACGGTGCCATGCCCTTCACCGCCCTTTCTGTGCACCCCCTCTGGGCCGAAATTTTTAGCTTGACTCGGGCACCACACCAACACCTGTGCTCGCGTAGCGGAGGGTGCAACGTCATGTATCATGTATGTCAAATCCTTCGAATTGCCCTCGAGACGAGACTTTGTTCTCCTACGATAGTCATCTACCGAAAAACGAACGCCGTCCCTCGCCCCCGGAGGCAAGCACCGTAAACAACAAATCCTCGTTCAAAAACACTCTCCATGGTTAAGGATCCTAACCTGATTGAAAGCGGTGCCGGCTGCGACCCTCAGCTCACCCAGCGCCCTCCCCCACAGACGGGCGTGGTACAGCAGGCACGGGTCCCCGCCTTGAGCTTGGTGAATCCTCAGCGGGCGCGCCTGGCCTGCCCAGTCCCACACCTGCTAACGACGAAGAGCGGCAGCAGCAGCCGCGACGAACGATCGAGTCTGGCCAGAAGAAAACGCTGCATGACAGGGGGTCGCGAGCGAGAGAGAGCGGAGTTTGTCATCTTCGGCGCTTCTTAGCATGACGAAAGGTTGCTGCATGGCAGACTCTCCCGGATCCGGAGGCCGGAATGCTTTGGGGCAGGTGGGGACGAAGCCTTCTCAGGGCGAACACACCGGCAAACAAGAGCACCTATAGGTGTCATTAAGGACCGACTTCGCGCGATTAATAAGTTTACGAGAAAGAAGAGAGAGCGGGGGCGCAGACCCTATTCTTTAACCCCAACCCTAACCCTAACCCTAACCCAAATTCCACGATTGTTGCTTCATCCGACATGTTTACAAAACACGAAAAACCCTGTGAAGGCTACTGGTAGCGAAAGGACAACATAAAGGACAACCCAAAAAGCGAAAAACCAAAAACTACAAGACAAGACAAACAAGCTGCACCGAATGAGTTGCCGACACCTTTTTTAGGTAGGGGGTACACTACGCCTTGAGCCGCGGAGGCGATGCAAGCTCCTGGTAGAAAGTCAGCAACAGATAGCACAGCACACCCGCCACACGTGTGTACCTCCACAGAATTGTGAGCCAACGCTACCGCCACCATTCCCACGCCGGCGCGCTCCCCCCGCCGCCTCCCTCCGTCAACTTCCTTCCTCGCGCCTTGGCGAGGCACCGCCCCTATCCTCCTCACGCCCCCGACGGCGCCCCTCCCGATTCCCCCCGTCCTTCCCTTTGCTTCCTTTGCTCCTCCTTCTCCCGTCCCTTTTCCTGACTTGCCGATGAGCCGAGCGTCCCACACTCGATCCCCCAACTCGGGAAGGCTGGCCACGCCTCGAAACCACGAGCAAGTCGCGGTGTCGCCGGCACGCGTGGGCACCCCGTCGACGATGCGCACACACTTGTCTCCGAAGATCGCGCCGACTTCAACGCACCGACGTTTTGAGAGTTGCGGTTGGTTGCAGATGCAAGGGAAGGACCGTGCGAGGGTACGGGGGGATAGGGGCGGGGATGAGTGGAATCTGTACGGAACTAGAAAAGGCGTTTCGCCGATGCATACAGCAGGAGAAAATCTGGGGCACACCAAGCTACCTGGCCTGAAGCGACTTGAGAAATCGGGTAGCACCGCTATACGGAAGGAGCAATCAGGCATCTCGTCGCATACGAGTGTGAGGCCAGCGTGATCAGTGCATCGCACCCGTGAAGCGCAGGAAGAAACACCGTTCGCTGTTCAATACAGGGTGCTTCTTCAAGATAGCTTCACCTACCATGCCGTCTAGCGAGATGAGGACGATACCGGAGGAGGTTACGGTATCCGTCTGCCTAGTCTTTGACATCCTACAGCCAGTAGTAGTTCGGTACTCAGAATGGGTCCATCTCCATCCGATCGAACCCGATCTATCATAATAGCACGACATAGATTTCGCAACTCTTGCAAAGTGTAGGTTGGATGCCACAAACGCTGGCAGGACCCTCCTGGCATTGGATCCATCCTTGAACACGCCGGCGAAATCGACCACACCAACAGCTGCGGATACAGCAGCAGCAGCAGTACGCATCGGTGCCGACCACCCTAGCACTCCGTCTACACTCACAAGATTCTCGGCCAACGTCAATGCCGTGCACCGTGACCCCAGGGCTGAAGACCCTCGTGGCAGAGAGCGGAGCACCGGAGCGGACGTCGTAGACGCGGAGAGAGGAGCCGCTGCAAGAGAAGAGGAGGTCGCCGCCTGTCGAGAAGGCCAGCCCCATGACGGGGCCGAGAAGTGGTCCCGGCAGGACATCGCCGACGGTTCCGCGGGGGGGCACGCCGTCCTCGCCGCTGTCGTCCATGGCACCCCCCCTCCCCTCTTCATAGAGTCAATGTGCCTATGAAGAGGCAATGTCCTGTCAGTCATGCCGCATTACACTTGTCCCGGTGTCTCTCGGCCGGTATCTACAGTAGCAGGTGGATGTCGATCTACTGCTCGTAGCTGTGCTGTCAGCTTAGCTTGGGCCTGCCTCCCTGTAATACTCACCCGCTAGCGAAATGGTCAATCAACCACGTACAGCAGTATATGAGCACGGGTGCTGCTGTGCGGTGGATACAGGGTTGATGCTGTGGTGTGTGGTATTGTGTTTGGTGTGAGGGGTTGGATCCCCCCAGAATGAGAAACCGATGTCGAGATATCGACGAGGCTGCAACACCTTGTGCCAGCCAAACTCTCATTCATCAATCAAGAAAGATCATACTGGAAGAGACCGATATCCATGAGACTGAATGAAACACATTTTGCGCCAGCCAGACAATTCAAGGGTACAGCAGTACGTAAGTCTTGATGGTAAATATCCACCTCGCTCACATTCGCCTGTACACCCCTTCGCCAACCAACTCACCAATCAATGTGGTCTGCGCCAACGCAATATGTGTGTGTTTTGTTTTGGGTATTATTGACTTTCGGTTTTGGGGACGCAATAGGGTCGGTGACAATTACAGTAGTCGGTAGGAATGCTGCTGGAACACTCACTAGGCTGAGACGTTTGAGGTTGGAGCTTGCACCTGCCTGTTCGACATGCATATGAACGCATTACCCTGCGCCTTTGTGCGAAGATTGTACAATTCCAGCGAGAACCCCAGCACCACCAGCAACAACACCCCCAGGACTGCACCAATGACATGCAGCGTAGAGTGGCAGATACCAGCAGGGCGCTAACGCGCTAACGGTTGCTGGCATTGCTATCGGTGTACTGCTGTATGCAGTTGGACAGCGGCAGTTTGAGGTTTTGGGCACACTGCCTGGTGGGTTCAAACCTGCAACACTAATTGAGGTGATGCGTGCTGCTGTGCTTCTTCGGCTTGCATCTTCCCTCGCACCTTGTCCGGTCAGCCGGTGGGTAGGACTCTGCCAACTCTGGCCAGAGCGCAAGACCAAGCTGTGGCGTGCTGGTTGTGGAGCTGGGCGTTAGTTGTGGATTGTGGATGCCGCTCACGGGACTGTTGTACATGCGTAACGCACACAGCTGTAGAAACCCCAAAATCTCGCCGCCTTTTCGGCACACGCCGCACAAGACCCCGGCACCCAGCACACAGCGCCCGAGCGAGCGAGCGAGAGAGAGAGAGAGAGAGAGAGAGAGAAAGACAGACAGACAGATAGACAGAGAGAGAGGGAGACAGACAGAGAGAGAGGGAACGAGAGAAGAGCAAGGACTACTCGAGAGAGAAAGAGAGAGATAAAGAGCGACTCCGCCGAAGCCCATGTTTTCGCGAGTAGTGCGGCCGCAGAAAGCACTTCTCGGCAGGTGCATCCGAAGGCATGGCGTTCCAGAGTCGCTGCGATGCTCTGCGGCAATGTTTTCTGTGCACTCGTCTGCACCACGTCCACGACAAGGAGAAGACGTGAATTTGCAAGGTGGGTATTTAATCCACCGCCGGTGTGCTGCTCCGGTCTGAAAGCTGAAAGCGTGTGTAGTGCAGTAGGATTCGATGGCATCGGACTTAAAAAACCTCAAGCATCGAGAGGTTACTGATGTCCCATGCTTGCAAAGAGAGGCAAGTGCGAGGTCGTTGTGCAACAAACACATACATCTTGGGGTGGACGGCACCTAGCGGCTGATAACTAGTCAGTTCTCGCTCTCAGCCGTCACCTACCGAGGCATGTGGCGCGATCACAACAAGGAGTTGCCGAAGAACCTCGAGAATTACCAGCCTCCCCCCAGGCGAAGCTGTCATCCGTTGCAAGGAAGCACAATTCACCCCACAGCAGGATGCAGCGCACTCTCCATGCAACTCGCCGAATACCTCACGACGCTTCGCGCTTGGTGATGTGAGAGCCTGGTCCTGTTAGAACCCGGCCTGGTCCGTCCCGGCTTTGTAGGGATGGGAGGTCAATGATCAAACGACTACGGCATCACAACTATGAGTACAACCCCCGGCCCCCCAGAAATATGGCTTACTGCTGTACTCTGCGCACGCCATTTGTGTCTTCCTTTGCAATGCTCAGCGCTGAGGCCTCGGCAAGAGATAGCCTTGGCGTAGTCTGCTGCTGAAGTCTACGAATCAACTCCTGTGCTTCGACCTCACCTCATTCTATGCATGTACCTGCGTGTGCTTCTGGCTCTCAGAGAGCAACCTCAACCTGCCCACACATGGAAATTATTTTTCCTTCGCACTCTGCACACACACGCCCAAAAAGCCTACAATCGTTGGCTCACCCTACCGTACGGATGATGTTGCCTCATGGGGTGCCGCCGATGTTTGTTTTGTTTCTGCTACCTCCCTTGACGGTGCTCGCAGAAGACGCCGACCTCTCGGGCAACTCTTTATCGTTCTCGCCGGAAGGACTGAAAGCTTTCCGAGATGTGGTCACCTCGCGCACGACCGCTTTTAGCTTCAGCGATAAGGAGGTCGACCCCGCCGCCATACGCGAGATCATGGCACTTACGCAGAGGTGTGAGAAAAGATATATATGCGGTACATGTCATGTGCGTGTGTGTGTCCCATTTGTCATCCAATTTTTTAGCGCCACTTTTCCGTGTGAACGCGTTTTTTCGGGCGCACTAGATAGTCGTTGGTCCACGCTTGTTTTGAGCACAACTTGAGAACAAACTTGCAACGACATTCGAACTCACGTGCCCAGCTTACGGAAGATTGCGAGGAAGTAAACTGAACCATTGGGGTGACCAGAGTCTCACAAGTATGCTACTGCAAACGTCTTGGTCAGAGGGATCTTGAAGGTGATTTGGGTACAATTTCGAAGCTCATCCATCTATCCACATCAATTCCGGCGACATGGGACGGAGAAAATTTACTGCAGTACGTACTACTGTACGACACCACCTTACCACACGTCGACACACCCGCTTTTTGTTTCGGCCTGAATCTCGCCATGACTACATGACAACTCATTCTGGCAGTAAACAAACTTCCGTTTTTCTCTTTGGACCGATAGAGTTTCACCCAAGCCTGACATCCACATCCCTTTTACTTTTGCTTTTGACATTCATGATGGGATCGGGGTGCGGTACCCCCCCCCCCCCCCCCCCCCCCCCCCCCCCCCCCCCCCCCC